AGTTGAATCGAACTTTGATCTAATCAAGTCGAGTCTTAACTTAGTTTTATCGAACTCGAACTCGAGTTCGAGCTCAACGACCTAAAAATTTTGAAGCTCAAGCTCGAAAAAATAAAAATAATTATTTTATTTTTTAAAAATAAATAAAATAATATTTTTTTAGCAAATAATAAATATTAAGGATATATATTAATTTTATTATTAAAATAAAAAATAATATATATACTCGAGCTCGCGAGCCTAGCGAGTTTAATATTTTGAACTTGAGTTCGATTCGGCCAACTCGAATTCGACTCGAGCTCGATATTGACCGATCTCAAGTCGAACTTGACTCGAGTCACTCGTGAACAGCTCGATTCGTCTGCACCTCTAGCTTTAGGAGCTGGTGAAAGAAATGGAGAGACAGTAAACGTACCAATTTAACACACAATCAATAATCTGTTACTCTTTTACTGATCATTTCATCGTGGTTATGGGAGTAGTATACACTTCTTTAAGGACTTTGAATCTTTGAGCCCGAGTCATAGTCATAGCAGCAAAGTTGAGAACGTTTTATGCTGTCTTGACTCTTGGATTTATATTGCTCGTTGAAAATGTTGCACTCGCTTTTTTTTTTTTTTTTGAAAATGCGCTATTCTTTCTGAAATCAATCGGAGAAGTAACTCTCCAAAGTGTAACTTTTGAGCACATACACACAAACGAATATCTACCGTATCAATTTACTGCAGAAACACATGTTGCTTTAAAGATCAAAATGATCTCTGTACTCCATATAAGACTGGATTTATCTCATAGTAATAACGCATAACTGTGTTGATGTTTTTGGGATTGGGAGGCCTGCAGATGTCTATATATCTTTTGGATATTCCCTCAAAAACAAAACAAGAAATGCCTTTTACAGATAAATTGTAAGATAGTGATTATTGACTATTATGCATAGGGACTTGCATATCTCAGCAAAAAGCCAACGCACTTGGGGTGGAATAATTCAGCAATACAGGGCGGCAAGACATACATATACTGACATAATTTCAGACTACAAATTCTGGGACTTGAACCTTATTTGTTGGGATTTTAGAGACTACCGAACGTAAAAATTGTGGGTTTTGCATCTACCTCGGCCCGGATAAAGTTGATGGCAATATTGGACTACCAACATAAACAACTACCTGTCCTTGATCACCAGCTGCCTCTGTCCTAACTGTGGATGAATTCGTGAAGTCACAGTCCAGATTGGTTTCAGCTACTACTACCAAACCTTCCAGTGCCTTGACTACTAAAGACATGGAAGGCCTGTTGTTGAAATTTCCCTGCAGACACCGTGCGGCAATCCTCATCATCTCCACAGCTTCCTCAACGTGGATCAGCATATCACCACTTTTCCTGTCAACCATGTCCTCAAGTCTTTCTTCTTCAGCTTTTCTCTTGAAAATACTGAGCAAATGCCTGTCTTCCTCAATCTTCGAGGAATCAAAGTTCTTTCGCCCACAAAGGATTTCCAACATCACAATGCCAAAGCTATAGACGTCCACTTTTTCTGTGACAGTGGAGCTCAACCATTCAGGAGCCAAATAACCTGGTGTTCCTCTCATCCTTGTAACAACTCTGCTTTGGTCCTTGTCAATCAGCTTTGACAACCCAAAATCAGCAACTTTTGCATTGAAATTTTCATCCAAAAGGATGTTTTGGGGTTTGATGTCAAAATGAATTATTCTCTGACTGCAATCTTCGTGGAGATAAGCTAATCCCTTGGCAATGTCTGAGATGATTTTTCTCCTAGTCCTCCATGCAAGAGAATAGCTTCGCATTTCACCAAAAATCCATCTATCCAAAGAACCATTAGCCATATGTTCGTAAACCAAAAGGCAGTGAGAATTCTCAAAACAAAAACCAGTAAGTTTTATCAAGTTAACATGGTGGATGCTACCAATTATCTGCACTTCCGCTAAAAACGAGTCCTTCAGTTGAGCCAAACCATCAAGACACTTGACTGCTATCCTCGTACCATTGTATAGTGCCCCTTCATAAACAGAACCGAATCCTCCTTCCCCAAGCCTTTTCTTGAAATCTTCTGTCATTGCTTTCAAGTTCTCATAAGAATATCTTATAGGCATTCCTGGTACCTGGTTCAGAAAATCCCCCTCAATTTCATCTGCTTCCTTCAATATCCTCCTCAAAAGGACCAGGCAAGAGCCGATTAAACATACCATACCAAAGAAAGCCCCAGATGTTGCTGCCAGTATAATTGTTTTACGCCTTGACGTGTTGGCATTTTGCACCTTAATGAGAAGAGTTGTATTATATGGTGATCCGATATAATTCTCATTGTTAATAATAGAAAAAACTTCGTTCAGCAAAAAGCAATTGCCTCTACCCCATTGATATCGATCATTATAAAACAGAGCTGCTTTGCATGAACAGCTACTTAGACATTTACTTTTGCATTCCTCCATTACTGTCGTTATGCTGTATGAGCTTGAATCAGATGCAAAGTAAGATGTATTATTTAGCTCTAGAAGAGTATGATCTTGGGAGTGATCACAAGAAATTGGAGTGATTAGTGAACATCCAAGATCGGGTTGTCTGAACGTTATTTGGCTGAAATAGCTCTCCTGGCCATTGGTTGTTTCAATACAGCCGCATTGCCCTTTTGAACAGACCCCATATTTGCCGCACACCATAGGGTATCCACAGTCACCAACATATGGGTTCAAAAGATCAATAACCTCTACAAATTCACCCACTGTTCCCCACTGGTATACTTTTAAATGCCCATCGGGCCCAAACTTCATGAATTGAGCTACTGATGCTGGAGGAATTGTAAAGTCATTGAAGCTTCCTTTCCTGAACTCATAATAAGGATAACTATTGATGCCAGATTCATAGTATCTTTGAGGTGGATCAGACTCTATATAAGCTGACAAGCCATCGGAGCCAACAGCAAGAGAAAGCCGACCTTCACTCCAATTGGATGCGGAAACACTAGCTGTCAGCTTCTGCCCGGGAGCCAATTTTTGTCCCAGAAGTAATGAGTCGGTGGGATGATCAAAAGACTGCCAAATGGATTCATTGTTTGGGCCAAATAGCACCAGGTTTCCCATTTCTGTCAAGTTTAAGCCTGAAACAGACTTTCCTCGCGTATTGCTGGACCATATTAAGGTGCCGTCAATGTTTGCTAAGACCAGATCTCCATCTTCCTTTAGTTGCAACGTTGCCTCACCCTGAACAAGATTATTCCTGTTAGCAGACCAAACTAATTCTGAGGACCGCAGATATCCGCCAGTATTGAGCCGACCTTGGGCAATGAGGACTCCAAAGAGGCATCCACCATCACTACCTCCTGAGTTACAGTAAAAGCCGCACACATAACTTGGTCCATCGCTTTCTCTCAGGAGGATGGGTGTCATCATGGGATCATAGTGCATATTGGTCCACGAAGCGGGAAGATAGGCAGTTGAATTATAATTTACGAATTGGACACTCGGAGATATTGATGAGGAAAATGGAAGCAGAATAGCAAGAAAAATGGTATAACTCAGTAATATCTGTTCTACAACCATTGCTTGACTTTGAGAGGTTGTTCTGGTTTTTTTGGATTTTGGGCTTGCACAAAAGATAATATGGCAAATTACAAACTGAGCCAAGGTAGGATAGACAAAATCTCTTCCTTCATTGTAGGTGAGTTCTCTGTTTGGCTGTGATCTGCCTCCTCGATCTTCTTCAAGTTCTTGTTCTCACCGTCAACGTAACGTTTTGCTAAGCTTGATTTCTGTGGTGTTTACTTTGACTAGACGCCAGTTTGAAACAGTCAAATTTCTTAGAAGTCTCTTCGTTCCTTCATTCCTCATACGAGGAGTACAGGGGGAAAACGTTTTTATTGAATAAATATCCCATGGTAGGAATCCAGTCAACCAAAAGAACAAAAAAAGTTGAGCATTTTCAACTCTTAGGTCATGTTGTTCCTTGGATAGTATTTCACTTTATTTAATGAGCTACAAATTAGTTACCTTATTCAGTGCTACAAATTCCCTTTTTTATGGAGAAATTATATTTATCAGGGGTTAAGTTATCTCATCATCCCAGACTCATTCCCTAACCGCAGAAATTTTCATGTCAGAAACCTTTTTTTTTCCTCCAACTTAGGAATAATTGAGCATGCACTTGCGAGTTGCAATAGGGCTGGTTAGAATTGTATCAAGAGCAAATTGGGTAGCAAGTCAACCTCATGAAGGATACCGAAAGGTCCCATGATGCCATGATATGTCAAGCCTACAGCAGAGTCTTGACGTTCTTGTAAGCTGACAAGATGTGTTTACTGTTGTTAAGAAAACGGGGCTACACATGTTTTCTGGTCTAAATTAGAGGCAAGAGGCAAGAGCTGGTTAGAGCCCATAAAACAATTGGAGGAAGATTCATTATAGGTGGTCAAAACCAGTAAGAGTTCTTTTACTAGTGCTATTTTTACTTTGCAACTGGCTGATCCTCTTCTCCACTCAGTTTATTGAACAAGAAGCTGGAAATTAGGCAAACATAAAAGAGTTACTACGTTGTAAACAAACTTGGAAAATGGCTTGGTGCTGATGAAATTTCCTTTGCAGTTTGCTAAAGAACTTAGAAGTAGAAATTCATAAGATAAATATGACTTGTAGAAGCCTAATATTTGTAGATACCTAGGATAATCCTTTATGATTTAGTACACTTCTTCAATGACTGAAAAAGCCTACCTTGACTAACTAAACTAACCCTGGAAATAAGATGATACAAGACCAAAAACAAACCCTTCTTGATCCTCATTTATTTGTGTCTACGTTTATTCTTCCCGGCCTCTAGCCAGAACTCTCACTTTGAAATCTCACCTGCACAAAGGAAAATATATCAACCTTTATTATTTCATTGTCCCACCCAAAAAAAAAGGAAGTAAAAGTTTATCTACAAGATAGAATTTGTTTGGCATGATTTTAGTTTTATGGAAGCAATTGGAATAAAGATGATCATGGATTCTAAAAAAGGTTACATGCTTCAAAGTTGGCAGCGCATTTTTCAGGAAGCTGCATGGCCAGGCTGCGATCGACTCCTGAAATCGGAGGACCATTGATAAGTACACATAAACAGGGCTGTCCTAGAGCTTTGAGGGCAACACAGCAAGCCTCGTTTGGTTGGTAGGGACTGAATGGAGCAACTGCTGCCCTACATGGAATCAGCTGAACAAGGGCAGAGAAGAAAGTGCTTACACAAGGACTCCCCCTGGTTTCCAGCACCAGGAAACCTGCCATGGTGACCATTAGCACCAGCAGAACTGGGACTGCATTTCTTCGAGATTGATACATTCTTTTTTTCTCTCTTTTTTTTTTTTTGGCCCTCGACTGCAGATGAGTAGTGAAATGCCCTACATTTTCACAGGGATCAATGTATATATATATATATATATATTCATTCTCTGAGTGAACTAAGAAGTCTAGTGCATTTTGTGCTTATTTCCTAACTCTGAATCACACTTGATTCATGTCACTTGTCGTGTGGCAATTATGCTGAAATAATATGATTGAAAAAAAAAAACTTGTGATGAAAGTTTTGTATATCAAGACAGAGAAAATAGCAGTGGCGCTGGTTGAATAAAAATAGCAGTAGTATTTTTGCAGAATTTCACATTGAACTTTATCCTTGGACCATTTTCAATGAATACCAACTTCTTCTTTTGCAGCACATATATGTATGCTGATATTATAGATCAAAGATATACAACAATTAATATTTGAATACTGTATAGAGCTGTGTTCACAAATTCTGGAGTCTTGATAGCACATTCTTGTTTGGCTGTTGATTATAACAGGTCATCTGATTTCAAAGATCAATGTATTTACCAATAATCAGAAGTTTTTCGTCTAACCTGTGTTATGGTAGTCAATGCGTGATATTGCCTCTAGTTGTTCAATCATTCACCAGATTAATTTGGATGGCAAATGCTGAAAGGACATACCTCCCAAGTTGTAGACTTGAGTGGTCCGTTACAGCCTCCTTGCCTGGTAACCTACCAGTAATTGGAAAATTAAGCCAGCAGATTGGTGACCCCTGTCTCTACTATATCAGACGCAGTGACAGAATCAAGACCCGGGATCAGGGGGGGCAAACAAATATGTTTGTACTGCACTACAATCACAGTTATACAAATATGTTGTTTTCTTTTTTTTTTTCCAGTGAAAAATATGATAATGAAGTGATACTAAAATATTGATTATGTGAATAATTTGGTTTAAAAATTGATAGATTTTACTCACAATCTTGTAACATGATTGTGAATTGTCAAATACAAAATAATAAACATTTGAAGTTGTTTTAGATTTTTTAGGGGGACAATTTGACGGAAAAGAACAATGTTGAAAATGTTAAGGGGGGAGGAGGGGCAGTTCTAAAGAAACATTGAAAGACTTGGAAGTTTTCTTTATAATTTTGTAATTTTCCAAGAGTTGAGGGGAAGCAATTGCCTGCACTCAAGACTCAGACTCAATGTGGCTCCACTGTTGCGCGCACGCATATCAGGAATCCTATAATAATTAGTAATAGTTCACATGCTTTGCACGTAATTGTAATATTTTAAAATATATTATTTTTTTAGTTACTAAAAATTTTTTATGAAATTTTGATCATCAATATCATAATATAGTATTTTTATGTTATTTATTTTTTTAAGCTAGTTACTTTTAAAATTTTTATTAAATGAAAAGAGATAGAAAACATTCCAATGTAGTTGACATATCCCCTAGGATTGAATTTGAAATCATGAACCAAATATATTTTGATTTATAGCTTGAACTCTAACATATCAAATATTGATAATATCATGTTTTACCAAAATTATTGTATATTCATGATTCTATTGCGTATAAACCACAATCATCACAATTTTTTATAAACGAAGAATATAATTAAGTTAGAAAAATAAACATACATGTAATTTGAATTCTTTGTATTATGTTAATTTTATTTTTGTCCATAATGGAGTATAAATGATCCACCACGTAAAAATTTTTTACTTGTACATTCTAACAATTGAAATTTTATAGATAGAGATAGTTGGAGTTTTTCTATTTTTCTTTTCTTTTATTCATGTTTTTAGCACAATCCAATGCGAAGAAAGAGCAACAAGTTTACTTTTTTCATATGAGCACAATATTTTTCGTTCTAATATTAGTTTTTTTGATGATCATGAAATTGGAATGAGAATTGTGGCTAATTAATAATTTTAATATTAATTTTTTGTATATTGCAGTGTTTTAGTTTTTAATTGCCAACTTTTAATCCATAACCGCTATCATTATTTAACAATTATTGGAATGCACTAAATCTGTCTAATTACAATTGTCACCGCAAATGAAATTTACTTAATTTTAAAGGTTTTCATTTCATAACCGCTTCCATTATTCACTAATATTGCAATACAATAAATATATGTAATCATTAGAAAAATAAGGGTATTTTGGACATCACCAAACACAATATGGATATCATTTTCATTTTATCATTCTTTATTTTATATTTATTCTTATTATAATTCTTATTTTATCATTGGAGATGGTTTCTGACTTGATGGATGGATTTGGTTTGCTCAAACCAATACAAATGAGGCACTACTATATTATTGTTAATAACAATGTTTGTCTTCCCCTGGATATCAGTGATTTGGATGTTGTCTTTGGTATTATTTGAATTGTATTTTAGCTTTTTAATTCATTTGCTATTTACTTTATGTCATTTTATAAATAGTTTTCAAATTTTTTCCAGTTTTTCTTGTTTTGATCGATTGCTATTAATAATAATAGTGGTTTGTATGATGTTATTTTAGATTTCTTTTTTTCTAGTTTAATACTGCTATTTCAGTTATAAAGGTGTCATTATTTTTTGTATATTGAAATTCCATTGGGTGCAACATGAAAAATTTTTCATATTGGTAAAAAGTGCATAATTGTAAAATTTACTTGTGATATTTGTATGAAGATATACAGATGAATAAGAGTTTTCTTGTCCTTGTATGTTTCTCCTTGTATATACAGATGAAGTGCATATTGAAATTGATTTTTTTTAACAATCTCAACTAATGACTAATGAGAAATTTTTCATGCTTCAATTAAGAAATTTTGATACATATAATAATAGGAGATGGAGTCCAAGGGTAGGTAAATAGTTTTTAATAAAAAATTTTTAATTATAATTACCAATACTATTAAAATGTAATCAATTGGAGTGTTTTATTTCTTTTAATTAGTGCCACATTAAAATGCAATAATTCTAATCACAAGACATGAGGGTAATTTAGAGATAACAAAAACTCCCTAATATCAAGTGTTCATACTTTTTATATAGTAATGACAATGATAATGATAATGATAGAGCTTTAAAATGGTTAGCATATATATCAGAAATCTCATGATAATAATAAAGCTATAATGTGCTTAGTATCCTTATTAAGTATCGAAACAAAATTATTTGTCACAACAACAATAGTGGTTCAACTTCATCGTAATGCTAAAACCGGCTAATTACTCAGAATATCGATGAAAAAAAGAAAAGTCGGACATGTATGGATGTGACAATAAGTACGTATAAAACTATGGTTGCCAGTGTCAGCCTGACAGCAAAAGAGGTTTTTTTTTTTTTTTTTTTAAGTCTGACACTATCCGGTAGTAGTAAATTTTTTTTTTTTAAATGCTGCCGGGCCTTGTTAGCTTGGCAGCACAAAACAAATTTGCAGACAACAACCAGCTTTTTAAAGTTTTTGCAGATTCTTTGAGTGTAATTATTTTAAACTAGCCTGCAATTTTTTTTTTGAGGGTAACTAGCATACAATATAATGTGGTCAAGTGTTATTTACCCTCTTGTTTTCACAAAATAAAATATGATTTGATTAACGCATGTCCAATAAACACTCATTAATAGAAGATTTAAGTATTAAATTTTCTATTAAAAAAAGGTGTAGTTAATTTGAAAAGGCATTCAAATGGAAAATGTGCAATAATTGTAATTATGTACATTTACATAGTAAATTAATTATAATTTAAATATATTAACCGGCATCTAATCCATTAAAATAATCCAATAAAAAGAAAAGTCTAGGTCGGTAGTAGACGATCTTGTCATTATTTAATGGTCATCACGTGCCTGTAGTCACGCTTTCATCCAGTCTGTCCAAAATAGTGAATAATTTAGTGTTCTTTTAGATCTGAGACTAGTACGGAAAGGCCTTAACGTCTAAGAAGCAATCAAGTGGAATGCACGTCTTTGTCCGTCTCAGATTACATATGCAGTTAACTCGTCAAAAAAATTAATAATTCGACATTTTAGTTACAATAAAAACTAAAAGTAATAGTAATAGTTATACAGTTTTATTGGTAAAAAATAAATAAAAAAAAATAAGAACAAAAAAGAATGAAAAAATAATTTTAGAACTCAAGTACAAGCATACCAAACAAGAAAATATCATTTTTAAAGATATATCATTAAAATATTTAAGAGTGTTGTTTTAAATAAAAAAAGAGGTATGTGCCGCAGGGGATTAGTTAGGCCCGTAAGAATTGACCCGGACACCCCTGTGTCGACAAAAAAAAAAAAAAAAAATTAATCTTTAAAACTTCAATAGAGCTAAAAGAAATTGATATAAAAAAAAAAACCCCCAAGGAAGATTTCTAAAAATTATCCGTTACACAGCCTCAAGGGAAGTTTATGAAATTATCCCTTAAACATATCACCGACATCGGTATCAGGTGGGTCCCAGAACGTCCAATGGCAATTCTTTGAGATGCGTCCAATTGCGGACGGTGCATTTAAGTCCTAATAAAAGGTAATTGTAAACTATCTAATAGTAATGACGCATTTATTGTTGAAGGCCTTGCATAAGCGAAAAAACCTCCTCACCATTCATAAAAGGCCCAGCAGCGTTTAAAAAAAAAATGTGCTGCCGCCGGCTGTGTCAGACTTAAAAAAAAAAAAAAGAAAAAAGCTCCTTTTGCTGCCGGGCTGTATACGTACTTATCGTCAGATCCATACATGTCCGACTTTTCTTTTTTTCATCGATATTCTGAGTAATTAGCCGCTAAAACCATGGTGACTACTTAGTTATCTTAAAACGTACGAACTGAAAATAATCCAAATGTGTTCGAGTTTTGAAGCAAACCTATTTCATCTTGTACAATTCAAAGCTCTAAAATTTCTCCAACAATCTCCATTTATATATGGGATAATTTCAGAAACCACCCTTGAGGTTTCTAAAAATTTCACTGAGCCCTCTTGAAATTTCAAAAATTACATATACCTCCCTTAATTTGATAGTTTTAGTAACAAAATCTTAAAATAATATTGACTTGGTCAAATTTTTAAATAAATATCCAAAAATACCCTTGTGTAATGAGTTTTAATTTACTTCCCTATACAATTATAAGATTATCTAATGTAATTATAAGAAAAAGGTGTCGAATTTTTCATGTCCATATCTATTATTTGATAAACAACTATAATAATAATCTTATCACTATGGT